TCACATGAAAACAGCAAATAACCAGAATCACAAATAAAACCTTGTTCTGTACATTTTATTTCACAATGGCTTTCATGAGGCATTTCTAATATTCAGATTATAGAACAATAAGGCCCCATTTTAAGAACATTACTAACAGTTCGAATGACATAAATATTTGTAGTAATGTGGTCCTTACGAGGATGTGCCTGTGGGAAACCATACAAGGGGTGAGGATCGAAGACTCTGTTAATAGAAATGTTTTTAACACAAAGCAAAGCCAGTTTAGTAATCGCTCAGTATACAGTTTAACAAAAACGTAACAAAAATACAGCAAAACAGTATTTAAAAGGGATCGCCCTACTAATAGAAACTTTGTACAGAACAAGGCCTTCCTTTTACTGGTCATGTAAATTGTCACAGTGGCTTAGGCATATCCCAGGGAAAGCAGGCTTATATGACTGTAGCAAACCACTGGGATAACTTCAAGCCCACCTCCAAGGAACAGATAAATCCTCCCTTGCAGCGGGGCTGCTCCTGCACTGCAAAAATTAGGTGCTTTTTTTAGATTTGGGGCAGCCGGTGCTGTCCATTAGTCCTTTGCCATCCTCATATCCAATTCTAGCCTATAGGCTCTTTATTGGACTTGACATCAGAGGACCTGTGACCACTGAGTGTAGAGCAGACAAGGCAGCAGGGACTGGTCTTAGTCTGAGGGGATACAGGGGAATCGGGTACATTTTTTTTTTTTTTTTTGTGGCCCCTTAGACCTAAATAAGCATTTAACCCTTGCAGGGTAACCCCACTACAGAGGAGGATTTTTACTTTCCCTGGAGTTCATGTAATAAGTGTCACTACTCAGATGACAGATAATGTGGCTAAAGAATTGTGTCTAGCCACTTCCAATAAACACCAACAATACCAAAACACAATACTTTTTTTGGATACGAAATATCAGAGTTAGCAAAAAAGATTGCTATATATTGTGTACAATCTGTAACTGTATAAAAGACTTTGAACATTTAATATTAGGAGCCAGTCAATCTGACCTGCAGGCCAGGAAGGACTTTTAGAGAGCAAAGTAGTATGTGACCTCAGTGAAAACAACAGAAAAGGTTAGGTTCCAGCTGCCATGTGTCTGGCCATTTTTCTCTTGGGATCCATCTAGTCCTGCTAGGTTTTTTTTTCTTTGTTTTTCATAAGATTTAAGAAATGTCAAATATAACGAGTTACTTTGCCTCCAAAAACTTGGCCTTGAAAGAATTGTTCTGTATATAGGTCACATTTGCTCCTTCCATTACTTGAACACAAGGTGGCAGCATGTGAGCTGCTATTATCCTATTAACACGTTGACTATGGCAGCAGCACACAATTTCCACAACATTGATGCGCAGAACCATCAATCCAAGGGGTATCAAAATAGTGTATGAAACATTCTGCACTATTCATTTAATTCTCAATAGCATTAAATACATACACCCATGCAATGAAATGGTATATCCTATTTTCTTACAAAATACCTGTATTACCTATGAAGAGCCATCAACGTTCTGCTTTTCCTCAGCCCATCACCATGTACATGTAAATAAAAGGAGTCTGTCTGGATTAAAATATAGCAGCTGCAACAGCTGACTTTTTCCAAAGTGCAGGCTACAAGACTATCCTCCTGACCCTTCCTGCACATACAATAAAATGAGACATTGATCAAGCAAATTAGCAAAATAATTAGTCACAATTTAGGATAAGTCTCCACCCACAGGTTTATAGACCCATGCCTTGGGTTTTCCTGGGCAGCCAAGTGTGACAGTTTGAAAAATTCAAAAAGATTACTGAAGACTAGATAGATTTCTACTCTAAACAGACATCATTAAGCTGTGGTCAGGGTCAGGTTTAACACAGTCACCCGTGCAGAGTAGCCAAAAGGAGGAGTTTATGACTTGTAATAAATCTGTCCAACTGCTCCTGTTTAGCATTGTGACAGCATTGATAAATGCCCCCCATTGGCTCAGAACAAGTATGTGTACATGAGTGGTCTAACAATCCACTGGGTTGCAGGATTGTGCATTAGACCAACCACCCCAGATTATACACCTTACAAAAAGTCAGCAATGACAGCTCTTTTTTCCAGCCTGCCAGTTTCCCTTTAAGGAAAAAAAAAAAAAAAAAAAAAAAACCTTCTGTGGCACTTAAAAGGCTATTATCTGCTCTGTACCAGCCATTCTCCACCAGAGGTTGTTAGGGAGCTCCGTTCCTTTGATGGTGCCTGCATAGCCAAGGACCCTACGACACCCTAACTGTAGGGGGGGGGGGTGTATTAGGACCACCACTGTAAGGGGAACATTCTTCCAACTATCCCTCAAGGTAAGGGACCTTTTTCCCAGTGACCTCCAGGGGTTCCCTGAGGCCTGGATATTATTTTAAAAAGGTCCCACTAAAGGTGAAAAGGTTGAGAAAGGCTGCTATAGAGATAGAACAGGAACCAAAAGTGTGCCCTGGGCACAGAAGGCAAAATTGCAATTATACTTTGGGGTGGATTCACTATATAGGTCTCACATCTCTTTATATTTGGCTGCCAAATTACAGCTATTTTAGTAGAACGTCCTACCTGTTTAAAATGCATTGGAAACAAATGGGTGCAATTGGAAGAAACCACTCATCAGTTTTTGAGGACAGTCAGTTGAGTTACCACTTTCTTCTCTTTATCTCTTGGGGGTTCTTCTTGTAGAAGAAAACAACCCTCTGAAACATGTGGTGGTGTGGGAGTTCTTGTGCTGGGATCTTAAAGTGGTTGTAAACCCTTACATTATACTCAGTGAATGGACTGGCCTCAGGTGATGCACAGATGAAACAAATCCTCCTACATATGTTGAATAGATGTACAGGACAGATGGCTATAGATAAAACAGGTGCAAATCCCTGAATTTACAAAGGACCTCTCTGAAAAATAAGGTGTGGGGAGCTCTCACTTTGCAGAGCTTAGTGAGAGGAGCTCTTAGAGCTCATTGGAGGGAAGGGACGCACCCCCTTCATGGAGCACACAGGAACAGAGCTGAGGCTGTCAATCGATCTGTAGGTCCCTCCCCTGTCACCATTTGTCAGAAGTGACTCATGCAGATAGCAGGAGGAATTAAGTAGCAGATAGAAATGACATGTAGTGCTCTGGATTAAGACAAGTACACACTATAGAGGGATAGGCTTTGTTTATTATTCATGTCTGAGGTTTACAACCACTTTAACAGGTAATAAGGAGAGGGATCAGGCATGCAGATATAAAAGATAACCTTTCAAAAAATATGGGGTCTAGATAAAAAAAAAAAAAACACTTTAGGGTGCATGTGCAGTGGCAGACTTTGTAAAATGAATGACAAAGAAAATGCATATCAGGTGTCGCCTCACTAAACCAAGAAAAAAGATGGCACCTCCCATACATCTATCCCAACGTATTCCTTTAATTAGGCTATATGCAGCTAAAATGGAAGTAGTGGTTTTGGGGTATACCTTTGTAATATTCCTATAATGCTTTTCATAGATAAATCCATGGCTATAGAAAAAAGGCATAAGTAGGATGAACCCTGAGTAGAGGTGTCATGCTGCAGAGTGAGACTTTTGTGGATGACCATGCTGCAGGACCAGATGTTATCCCCATTTGCTCTGTTGTTGCCCTCATAGCTAAATGGACATTTTATTAAAGTGCAAGAAGTTTCATTTTTATGCATCCAAAATTACAGTATTATATAGATCAGTGTGCTGTATAATACAGAGATTTAACAATTTTTCCTCCAACCAAAAATATACATATGTCTTTATATAAATTTTTTTCTCTGGGGTAAATAGTCCTTCATAAAATCCATGACAACATTCAGCTAGTCTAAAAAAAAAAAAAAAAAAAAAAAAAAAAATATTTAAGCCACTAATTTCTGCATTTTAAGGTTGTACACTGTCTGCAAAGATACAAATATAAAGGCCTAAAAAGAAAGAAAAAAAAAAACTAATATTAGCTCCAGCCATTTTTTGTTCATTATGCAAACTTTTGCTGTTTAAAAAAAAAAAAAATGCATGAACTATACTGGCCATTTAAAATTTTACTATTAGGCGGCATTTTAGAGGTTATAGAATGAAGCCTTTTATGAATAGAGATTTGGATTCTTTATCAGTCCTATGCACATAAACAAAACAAAAAAAATAAAATAAAAACCAAATACAAACACACTGCAGTCTTAAGGCAGTGTAACATCTCAATATTTTCCCCTCTGATGCATTTTTCATTGAAATTAATAGAAACATCAAACACAGGTTAGTTGCATGTTATTAACACCAATTGCAATGCACTTTGTATTGAATGTCAATATGCATCATAATGCACATCAATATGTTTAGTAATAAATTGGCATGCATCTTAAAAAGGCATTGACATACATTTCTATTGACTTCAAATGGAAAAGGCATCAGGCAAAAAGGTGAGAATCCAGCCTTAATGATTAAATTATACTCCCACATAGATTTTGTTTGTAGCAAATTTGTCTTTTTAAAAAACACATGCAAAATCATTGCTCGATATTGGTTTCCATTATGGCACCCATATTTCCCCCATTTTAGTGGCTGTCTTTCTCGCTCAAGAAGCAACTGCAGCATCCAATCAGAAAACAGAAAGAGTTGCTGTGTTAATTGCATCACTGAACAATTTGTTGGTGATAACTCAAGGGAAAAAAACAAAAAAAAAAACAAACAAACTTTGAAGCAATATGTGCATACATACAGTACATGTTACAATACATCTTTATAAAGCACAGTTTTATTTTAGGTGTATTTTCCCTTTTATACGGATATAAAACCCTGATCGAATGTGCAGTATTGCATACATGTTCACTTAAAATGAATCTTTCTATACTAGCCTGCCTGGAACCAGCACAATATAACAAAAGAACAATTATACTGATCCATTCATTACAAATGGTCTGGGAATTCGGGTTCCAAAAGTTCGCATTATTTGGAAGGCAAGACATGGGACACTCGCAAATGAAATGGTAAGATGTGATAAGAGGCGACACGTAAGGCACAGAGAAGCTGCTATGTCTGATCACATAGTAAGTGCAGCTGGAGATCAGAACACCTCACACTTGGATCACAGGCGTAGTGGCTGTAAGAGGCACAGTGGAGCCACACTCATAGTCCATGTCCACAACAGTTTGCATATTTGTGCTAAGGCTGCTCATGGATGTGCCGCTACCAGACTGACGTTCTCTCAGGCTTTGCAGGTAACTCTGTAACAGAAAGAGAACAACTCAGATGATGTTGAAATTTTACATAGCCGAAACAGCAAATGACAGGCCGCTGGCCATGGCCTCTGAAAGACCAGAGCAGTAATAGTTGTTCAAACAGCTTTAAAGAGTATGTTACCCCAACATTTCTTACTCTAGATATGTGCCTGAGATACCATGTACTTGTATGGAAATGTATCCTGCTCGCTCTGTATTGCTTCCTTTTTGTGAAATTCCCAATGTTCCTGCCAGACCCTCTGCTTTCCTATTAAAAAATGAACACACTAGGCATGAGAGCACAGCGTGGTCAGTTTTCTGGCTGCGCTGTGAACTCAGCATGCTCTCCTCCAATGATCAGACTTGCACTAACACACCCCTGTGCACAGCCATTCACTGGAAAGATCAGTGCACTGCTGTTTCTCCACCCTCACCTCTCTATGCAGAGAACAGAAGGTATGTGATCACTTATTAAAAAGAAAAAAAAAAAAAAAAAAGTGCTTATGTTTTTTAGAACTACAGTAATACCTCGGTTTAAGAATTTAATTCGTTCTGCAGGACTTTTCTTATAGCGAAAAAATTCTTAAACCCAAACGCCGTTTCCCATAGGAATGCATTGAAAACCAATTAATCTGTTCCGGAGATCAGAAAAAAGAAAACACTAATAAATACCGCATGAGTTATTTTATCAAGTCATGAGGCATTTTAGTAGTGACAACCATGTGTTAGTATTTCAGCTGTCAGTGGGGTTCCCCACTAACAGTTGAATGTAAAAGATTTGCCGGCAATTAAAAAAAACAAAAAAAAAAAAAACCACCACTGCGTGGGGTCCCCCTTCCCATCCATACCAAGCCCTTCGTGTCTGGTATGGATTTTGAGGGGAACTTCCACGCCAAAATTTAAAACAAAATGGCGTGGGGGTCCTCCCAAAAATCCATACCAGACCCTTTTCAGAGCGTGGCAAACAATGTTTCTTTTTAGTTTCTTAAAAGAAACAACATTTTCATTAACTTTGGGGAAAGTGACACCTAATTCTATGAGCTATAGTGAAGAAAAAAAAAAAAAAGCCAGCAATTGCATTTAAAAATCAGCACTGACATACACTTCGTATTGCGAAAAAAATTCATACAAAATTTGTAAACCGAGGCATTATTTTCAGTGGATTTTCATTTGTAAACCGAAAATTACTTTAACCGAGGCGTTCTTAAGCCGAGGTATTACTGTATACACAAAATTAGTTAGCCCATTCAGTTTAATATAAAAATGAAAGGCAGTTTTACAAGGTGCGGGTTTACATATACTTTAACCTCCTTAGCGGTTTTCCCGAGTGTAGCTCGGGGTAGAATTTCTATACCAAGAACGGTAACCCCGAGCTACACTCGGGCTTACTATGCAGCGTTCTCTGGGGGTCCCTGCAGCACTTACCTTGTCCTTCGCTCCCACGATGTGTCCCCTGCAGCGTCCCCGTCCATCTCCTCCGGCGGATGCCGGCATCTGGCTTCCGTGTTCCGGTCCCCGTGCCGTCGGAACGTTCGGGCGGCGGAACCGGCGGGAAATTTGAAATTTTTTAAAAAATGACATTTTTGCGGTCATTGCTTTTTCACTGCATTTCACATACATTTTGTCCCCACTGCTTTGTCCTGTGCCCTGCCTGCATTTTGACTGTTCTTTCTGCCTGGAAACTTAGAAAAGTCCATGGCGGCCAAAAAGCGTCCCTTTACGTCAAAAGCGGTTTTAGAACAGCGATAGTAAATCAGAACCACTTGCAGAATTGAGTGATAATGATTTGTGGGGAAATTCGTCATCAGACACTGAAAACGATTTTGCGACTTTGCTCAGCGATGTGCGAATTTGCCTCTGTATTTCAAATTTCAGTGTTTTTGGTTTGATTATATTATTGAATTAAATTTATTATATTATTATTTTTTATGATTATTTATTAAATTATAATTTATGATTTCATGTTTCAAGTTTTATCATATCCAGAATGTTTAATAGACTCTTTTTCGGATAGATTTCAGTGAGTTATTCCTAAAAATTACAGCCTACAATTAAAAACTACATATTTCCATGCAAAAAAATGGTACCGCTTTCAGCACAAAATTCCTGACATGATCATACCGCCAGGGAGGTTAAAGCCAAAGGTGGCGATTAAGCCCATCCTCTGTGCAGAGCCGCTGGCAGATAACGTGCGTTCGGATCCGTGCAACTGTTCCTGCCCGCCTGTCAAACTTTGATATGCGAATGTGTCCGCGCAGCTGCTGCATGTGCATCCACCTCTATGGGCTGTCTGCAAGCAGTTCCAAGGTGGATGCACACGCATCTACCATGAGCTTTGTGTGGAGGATGGACTTAATTGTTCAACTCTACGAGCCCTATGAAATATCAATACAAGACTTCCTCTGACTGGCTTGTGTGGCGAGGCAAGCAGCTGATACCACAATCTCCACGTCAGTCAGTCAATTAGAAGAAGCTGGTCATTGATTAAATCAGAACTAAAAAACTCCACAATTTAATGTTCCCAAAAGAAAGTTCACTGAAAACACCATCTTTCTAGAAGGCTTTATGTACAGTATATAGTCAAGTTTGTAGTTACCCGATCACCACACCTGTATGACAGACCTTCACACCTATATGAGCTTATGGTTACCGGACCATCAAAACTATATAGGTTTGTAGGACTTTCCTCTCTAAAGCCGTGGCCATTATATTAGCGTTGGCAACAATTTCAGCCTCTTCTCTTTGGTAAGGTTTTACATAAGATTTTGAAATTGTGTGTCTGTGAAATTTTGTGCCTATTTCACCAAAAAAGCATTTGTGAGGGATCAAGTACTGATGTAGGATGAGAAGACCTAGCTTGAAATTCATCCCAGTGTCCAATAAGGTTGAGTGTAGTGTAGAGTTGACCAAACTGGTCACATCATGTCTTTATGAACCTGGTTTTGTGCATAGGGCACAGTCATGCATTAACAGAAATGTTGCCACAAGGTTGGAAGAGTCTAAAAATCTTAAATCGCCATACGTTAGAGAATTGACACAGTCGTGTGTCAATGCTAGAGTTTAAAAATCTTATCACTATATATGTTATAGCATTGACACAGTCATGAACACAATTTGGCAAGGTATTCTCAAACTTTTGACCATATAGTGTGTAAAACTACTGCTATGATATGAGTAATGGTCTATCTAATCTCATTTTAACCTTACGTTGATATTGCACTATAGTCACTGTCCTCCATATGAATTAGAATTGATTCCTTATAAATACATAGGAGGATAAAATATAACCTTTTTTTCATATAAAGAAAAGGTTGGAGAGAAATAAACAAATAAAAATAGATCTATTCTTACCGGTGCAAGGATGTCCCCAGTGTATCTTTTAATAGGGTTGGCCTTCCGCCTGTAAGTCCCATCCTGAGAAGCAACATTCTGTCTCTTCTTGGCCTCTTTCTGACGAATTCTTAAGAGCTGGAGGCGTTTCTGGCGTCTGCTTATGATCACTGTCAAATCAAGTAACAAAGCAGTGAGGGCTAATAGAAACACCAAACATGAAGCCAATTTTTTTTTTTTTCAAATACTACATACAAGGGAAGCGCACAGCTAAATAACCTCTAGGATTCTAAGAAGAAATGTACAAAAATAAAAATCTGTCTTCTTGACAAACACACACACAAAAAAAAAAAAAAAGGGGAAGAAGGTGGAGAGCCATTTAGACAAAGACAGACAATACACTGTTTCGTCTCACATCTTTTTTCCTGCAAACAGGGTGACCTGCTGACCGTTTCAGCTTACATCTAAATGTGTCTATTAGAAGATACACAGGTGTGCATGAAACAACACTACATCTGGTTATAAAAACATAAAATAAATTTTTTTTTAAAAGACCACAGCTATTTAAAACAGTAATATAGACAAATACATGGAAACATTGATACATCTTCAACAAGCAGGGTCAAAGCTTCTCCCAATAAGCAGACAACTCTGTTAAAGCATCCTCTTCTGCTTTTTGTAGGTCATGTAAAAGTAAGATAGCCATAGAGCTTGTGCAGTCTTTAGCCCAGAGTAACCCAAGAGCAGAAAGTCGACATATCCTCAACCTCAGTTATTAGCCTCTAACCCAGCGGTTCTCGACCTGTGGGTCGCGATCCCTTTGGGGGTCAAACGACCCTTCCACAGGGGTCGCCCAAGACCATTGGAAAACACATTTCCAATGGTCTTAGGAGAAGAAGACACCGCTCCTCTATCCGTCTCCAGGTGGGTCCGCCCACATGCAGCTACGCCCACATACGAGTACCCGGCGTGATGACATCGCACCAACCCCATCACATACACCCTGTACAAATACAGGTGTGGCAGGGTTGGCGCCATAATGTACTTATGTGGACCAGTCACACGTGTAAAAAGAGCAGCTACTGTGTAGAAAGCAGCAGTATTGGAGGTAAACCGATAATTAAAGCATTATAATTCATGAAGTATGTTCAAATTGTAACAATGAAAACACATCCTGCATATCAGATATTTACATTACGCTTCATAATAGTAGCAAAATTACAGTTATGAAGTAGCAGCGAAAATAATTTTATGGTTGGGGGGGGTCACCACGACATGAGAAACTGTATTAAAGGGTCGCAGCATTAGGAAGGTTGAGAACCACTGCTCTAACCCTTTTTAACCTCAATGCACACTCATGAGCATCACAAGGCTGGCAAAGGCCCACACAATGGCTCATAATGCTCCAACAATGCATTTTTTTCTAACTTTTTCTGATCTACAAGAATCTCTCTCTTTCTCCTTTAAAAGTTTTACATTAAATATGTGTAGACACAGGCAGTCCCCGGGTTACAAACAAGATATGTTCTGTAGGTTTGTCTTAAGTTGAATTTGTAGGTTTGTTCTTAAGTTGAATTTGTATGCAAGTTGGAACAGGTACATTTTTTAAGTGCAACTCCAGACAAAAAATACTTTTTTTTTTGAATAGCATAGGGAAGGGTTAACGCCCCTGTAATGTTTGTTTGGCTGTTTGTGCCCTTGTTCAGAAGATTTCACCTCCCTTTCTGTCCCCTGTGACAATTGGATTTTGAAAAATGTGGGCTGTCGTGGAAACAAGGGATTGGTGATAAACCTTTAGGAGACATCTTTTTCCCATAATAACTCTTAAAGGAGTGAATTTCCCTTCCTGGGGTAGATTTGCTCTCACTTCCTGTTTCTCCCTTCCTTTGCAAGTACAAGTTGTTCGTAACTCGAATGTTCATAACACGGGGACTGCCTGTATATCAATAGCTAACACCTGAAAATGTAAAACATCCCAAGTTAGGCAAACAGAAGAAATGAAAAATAGTCCATTTGCTTTGGGAAATATTCTAAGATGTATGGAGAACAATTTGCATAACAAAATTGCTACAAAACAAGATGCAGGTCCATTCAATTTGTAAATCTGTCAACACTCCAGGAAGAGATTTCCACATTTTTGCTGTTCAGACTGTTGAGAACCATTTCTGCAATTTTGGTTTAAACCTCCTTTCCTCCGGTCTTAAATTGTGACTATGTAGTCTCATCAAGTACCTGGGATTAAACAGGTTTTTACCAGCTGTACAGTCATCACTGATGAAGTTGTAGATAGCAGCTATGTCTCCTATTAAAAAGGGACACTAAACAATATCCTTTTTCTTCCAAAGAAATCCAAAAAAAACACATCTACTACTTGATTTCATGAAAAATAGGATTACAGGATCATTATTTCTTACCGTTTGCCTTGCTACATCCTCCGGTGAGATCCTAAACCTCTGCCCCCCCCCCCCCCCCTCCTCACTTCAATTTGTTTGAAATGAGCAGAGCATGTTACTAGTGGTCATGCACTAATAGTCTATATCCCTTATTTCCATCTTGGGGGCCAGCAAGAGAAAGTGGCCATGTTCCTACAAAAAGTGGGACCATGGAGAACAAACACAGCAACTCTCGAACAGGAAGTCAGATCACAACAGCAAATAAAAAAGAAAAAATATAATTTTAGAGAAAACACACACCTTCTTGCCATGATCACAGTATGTGATCATCCAGCAATTGTGATAGAATACAATTTTTGTACTCATGAAATCCTTTACTTGGAGGCCACTGAAGGAAATAAGTCTTTAAAGTGGGTAGAGTGGGGGGGCAGCTACATGGTAGAGGTCTACGTCAAAAGAGTGGGAGCCCAACAGTTTGTGAAACAAGATAGAAAGAAGAGAAACCCAACCTGTAATAGTGCTGACGGCCAAACACTGGTCCAGCCCCAGCTACAGGAAGGAAGGGATTCATCCCACAGAGAAAAGCTCATTCGGGTGAAACCCCCAAAAGACTCACACCAAGTGTCATATGCCTTCCAATGATAGACTTTGCAGATAGTAGATTTTCTAACATCCTAGGAATTACAGACTCAGCCACCCATCTCTCAGACCTCGTATTGTTGGTCTCCTTTCTGCAGGCAAAGCAATCCAGTTTGCTGTTAAATCTGGAAGCCAGATCGTCCACCTCAGGGTGTTTCCCACCTGCAGCACAAGTCCTGGAACATCTGCAGGTATGAGGACCACTCATCCAGGTTCAGGCGATTCAGTTTGTAGACGCTGCAAATGACAGACTGCACTCAGGCATCCAAGATTTTTTTTGTGATGTCTTGGCTCCAGTCTTGGGAAGCTATATCTGGCATTGGAAGACTGAGAAGGAGGAAAGAAACCCTTCCCAATTTCAGAGGTAGAAGACCTACTGGTAAAGGCACAAGCCACAAGATGACTCGCTAGAGATCTGTCAGGCTATTCACATTAGCAGTGCAAAGCCTTAGGTAAAAATGTCGTTGACTGGTAAAGAGCTTTAAAAAAAAAAAAAAAAAAAAAAAAAAAGAGAAGAAGTATGGGTTAACAAAAACTATATAATGAATACCCTCACCAGCCACTTTATTAGGCACACCTGTTCAATTGTTTGGTAAGACAAAATTGCTAAAATCAGCCAATCTCATGGCAACAACTCAATGCATTTTAGGCATCTAGAGTGATGAAGACGACTTGATGTCAAATCGAGCATCAGAATGGGGAAGAAAGGGGATTTAAGTGACTTTGAACGTGGCATGGTTGTTAGTGTCAGAAAGGCTGGTCTGAACATTTCAAAACCTGCTGATCTACTGGGATTTTCATACACAACCATCTCTAGGGTTTACAGAGAATGGTCCAAAAAAGAACGCACATGTCAAACCTTAAAGCAGATGAGCAACAGCAGCAGAAGACCACACCAGGTGCTAATCCTGTCAACTAAGAAGAGGAAACGGGGACTACAATTCACATAGGCTCACCAAAATTGGACAATAAAATATATTAGAAAAAACATTGCCTTGTCTGATGAGTCTCAATTTCCCTAAAGATGGTTGTGCGTGAAAATTCCAGTAGATCAGCAGTTTTTTAAAAATACTCAGACCAACCCATCTGACACCAAACAAAGCTTCAGAATGGGGATTTATATGACTTTAAACATGGCATAGTTGTTGAACTTCAGCAAGTCGTCTTCACCACGTCTAGATGCATAAATGCATTCAGTTTCTGCCATGTGATTAACTGATTAGCAAATTTGTGTTACCAAGCAACTGAACAGGTGTACCTAACTGGCTGGTGAGTGTACACACATGCAAGTTTGATGCTGCATCTGTCCCCTGCTTGATCAAAGACTGACAACTGAGTGATCAAAGACCACAGATTGCTCAGTTCTCAGTGTTCTATGAGCAGAGATCCAGAAAAATGTCATGTCACAGGCTCTCTGCTCTGCCCCTCCAGTGCTCACTGGAGCACTGAGCCATGGAAGGGGAGGGAGCTGCTCTGAGCTGTGGAAGGCAAATTTAGGCTGCTCCAGCGCTAGACAAGAGCTTACAGCGTCAATAAGGGTAGCGAAGGTATCCTTTTGATTAGGTAAAATCAATGTAACAGGTGTGTCATCCTGAGTTAATGCCTTAAAATGCAAGGATCCTCAACTGCTACCTTCTCTCAAGTGCAAAAATCAAAAGACTTATTCAAGAAGGCTGAACGGACCAGATCATGAACCCTACTATCCATGACTTTAATAAGGCCAGAAATTCTGCTCATGAATTTTGACACTGTGGCAGAAAATTCTTCTCTAGCTAGAAGATGAGCTGATGGGCCATTTAAATGGCTAGAGGAAGGCATGGAGTCAGAGTAAAGGCAATCGGAGGAAAGAGTACTAGGGCTTTAAAAGTATGAACCACTACCACCATCCCCCTTCCAATAGAACTAAACGTTAAGCCTGAGCTAGCAAGTCCATCTGACCCCTTTTTCCATGCGCTTATGATCTGCCATGCCTGCCTGTGAAAAATTGTCCCCAGATGGGTACTCGCCACCTTTGTAGCAGTACAGAAAGGGGAATGCATCCATGCCAAGCACTTGTAAGCCACAGTAGCCCAGGTATTATACTATTAGCTGCTATAAAAACAAAAAACTAAGAGGAAACAAGATTTTGCTGGTCCAAAGCAGCACTTGGGCATGCAGTTGTAGTAACTTCCACCCCCCAGGATCAAGGAGTCCAGTCCTTGGGCTATGTAGCTGCAGTAACACCCTGTTTGTGCAGGCACACTAGGTCCTTGTCCAACACCATGACCATTGGAAGGTAATTAATGACTCCCAAGCATTCCAAAAGGGTTAAAAGAGGTGACATCCTTAAAATGGATTTAAACACCCTCCTGGCTTCGCCTGATGAGCTTATTGCCACAGGTGTCTTTTAGGGACAGGGCTCTGCACCAGGCAGACCAGAGCCCTGGACCTGTAGAGCACCCTACAGCGAATTCCACAGATTACACCAAATGTCAAAGGAAGTGCCCACAGAAAAATCCAGTGTACAAGCACCATTATAGGCCAGCCCTACATCTTCCACCAGGTGGGGTCCAGGTATGGTCTGCAGTCAATGGTTCAGGAGATGCACGAAGACCCACATTGGCCATGGTGCAAAAAGAAACATCTTTGACTATAATCATCCAAAAGACTGACAACGACTAAAAGAAACCTCCATAAAAGAAAGTAATCTTTTCTAAATAGATCAAAGAAGGCCATCACCTAAGAGACTAGATAAAAAAAAAAAAAATAAATCGAGGCTAGATGGGAAGGTTTTACATAGGGGATGTCCTAGCAGTTTTTTTGCCAGTGTCCAATCACCTGTAGGTAGTTGCACAAATTGTGTTTGCTATAAAGTGTTGACTGGGTTACATGCACCGATGCAACATATTTCCACAAGATGTAATGTATTCATGCGTTCCACTTTTTATAGACAATCCTACCCGATTTCATGAAAAGGACATACCAACTCTACTCATTTTATTTTGGGGGGTATTGGTTTTCAAACTCAGCACAGCTGCGTAACAATACAGTCAAGGCTATATCAATATGAAAATGAGGATACAATGTTATGTATATACAGAATATTAACAGGAATTTAATGAAAAAGCTGTACTTACCATCAGTATGAGAAAAGCCTTCAGCTGTCAGCTTCCACTGAACTACAATTCCCAGTACACTTAACAATGGCCACATACCCAACACCACCCAGCTGAACCAGCAGAGGGGATAGGAAGGTTCTAAGCGGAGTGTGTCATACACATACTGCACCAGCAGCATCATCTCAATGAAATAGTCAGTACATACAGACAGGATAGCTGCTCCAAACGTTGCAGTGGAAACCACAGTGAAGAGCTTCTGCCACTGCAGAGTCAATACAGCAAACAGCATGGCAGAACCCATCATTATTCCTACTGGAATCCAGGCTGTGGATGGATGATAGAACTGCTCCAAACCCACCAGACAGGCAATGGCCAGCAAAAGTCCAAGAAGCAGGCCAGTCATAAACAGGCCAACGCTGTGCACAAGCATGGTGACTAGTCCGCAAAGAAGGCCGATGCCCAGGGCAATGCCTGCACTCAGCTCCAGGCTCAGCTGTGTGTCCAGGATTCTCTCTTTATAACAAAGCAAAAAGATGACTGCTGATCCAGCCAACAGTCCCGATAAAAACATAATGGCTTTGAAGCACCGGTAACCTGTAAAAAGAAAAAAAAAAGAACACATGCTGAAAGTTAAAAGAAAGACAATCATTGGCTAATAACAATATAAAATATAATTCAGCCTTCCAGTAAAAGGGTCTTGGGGTGGCTTTTTTTTCCCCAGCAGTAGGACAGGGTGTGCAGTGGTATTCTGTTGTCATTGCTACAGCATACATACAGTACATAGAAAACAAGCTACTTGTGTCAATGACCTGCAGGTTCTCCACATACTCATAAAAAAGAGAAGTGGTCTAAGGCTAGGTTCATACTATTGCGGTCCAAACGGACCGCGTTTTCTCAGGCACTGCAACTCATTCGTATGAATGGGCTGCTGTGCTGCATTTCCCGCAGGAAAAAGGTGCATGCAATTTATAAAAAAAAACGCAGCCACAGGGAAGCCGCATGGTCTGACAGTTGTTAAAGTTTCAGTTAAAGATCCAGTCTTTAACAACTGTGCTAGGTACAAGGGAGATCGCCCTACCCAAAACCAAGTTCGACCTAACAAGAAATCATCCATTTCCTGCAGAGTAGAGGGATGCACATTACCCATTGTTAGCTAGTGACCAACTTAAAAAGAGATGCAAGTTTCCCCCCCCCCCCCCCAATATTTATAGTTGCCTAGGTGGATGCAGCATCAGGCCGATGCCAGGTGCCACTCCAGACTCTGGGGTGGATCCCAACTTTGAAGTTGGGATCTCTCCCCAGCCTGGACCGGCTGAGTGCGGTCAGCTGAAAACGGGTCACAGGAGTGCAGAACAAATTGCACTCCTGTGATCCACAGAAAAGTAAAGCCGAAAAAGCTTCTGCTTTAATAAAACAAAAAGAAACAAACAAAAAACACACACTCGGAAGTTTTTTGCTACTTACCAAAAAAAGGTATATACAAGGCCAAAGAGACAGCATAAGGAGCACACAACTGTGGGAACCACATCATAATGTCGTCCATTTTCCAAGCTACATAAACCTTCAAAAGGGTCTTCTTGCCCAGTGTCTACATTTTGATTGTTGAAGTGCTGAAAACCACTGGGTATAACAAACGATGACAAATCCAACGCCATAGCTCAATGTAGGCCACGGGTTGAAGTGAAAGCATCCATCAATGATCAACCTGAAAAGTAGGAGACAATACTACATTAAAACGGTTTTTTGGTTTGACAATGGCAAGAACAAAGCAAATCTAAAAAAGAGGCCCGTATTAAAAGGGCACATCTAAAGCATATGTCCACATGCCACTTTCCTCTATCACTTGCGAGTCTGGAACACACCCCTACAAACTTGCACAGAACCTTTTCATAATAGCACTGAAACCACAATGCGTGTGAACAGATCTGTGTGAACCACCTCAATAGGAACACACAATATCTAGCGTATCCTGCGAATATAGGAGTTTGAAAACACATCCAGAATCGCATGTTTGAATCAGGACACCTCCGTTGACACCTGGGCATTTGGGGATCGCGACAGAATAGCTGTGATCACAAGACGCAGGTTCAGTTGCCATCATTTTCAATAGTGCCTAAAAACGAAATGCAGTTTTTGTGATTGTCGCGTGGACAATTGCATCGTGTGAAGCTTGTCGCCCAAAAGTTGTCTTGCCCTGGGTGCGAACAATAAATATATATGTGGCTCCTAACTTTTTTAGCTGGCTCCTAGATTCAAAGCTGCACATTCATACATTCAAATTTAAGCCTAGGTTCACACTTGCCCACAGCCAAATCGCACTGCTCTGTAGAGCTGCACAGGCCTGCTATTCATTCTTAATAGCACCCCCATGCATCTCAGCCAGCTGCAGCACGCTTGCTGGTGTGGGAACCGTAGGGAAATTGCAGTGTCAAATAGTACAAATGTGATTTCCCCACAGCAGAGTATTTAAAAAGGTGCATGCACCTTTTTTTTGTGGGAACTGCTGGCACAGCAGCCCATTCAAACGAATGGGCTGCAGGACCCAAGCGAAACGCAAACCACACAGCCCTCAGAAGTGTGAACCTAGGCTGGAGAGGAACTTTACACACAACTCCTCTCTTTTGTTTTGTCCTCCCCTCCTGTTAGGCATGAATGTACTTAACCCACGTGTCCTCTTGCCAAATGAATCCAGCATTGTCCTGCTGTGATCCGCTACACAGGTGCAGGAGCCTGGGTCTCATGACACCATCTTTCCTTCTGATGTCATCAGGAGCCTGGCTGCCTCCTCTGGGTTGTTGCAGCCAGCCCTCTGACACATGCCAGGCCCACCCACCAGCTGCATCTTTGTTCCTGTATCCTCCTGGGATGTACGAAAGATATCCAGGAGGTTACGGACAAATCAATCTTGCCAAGATGAGAATGGTGGTGGGGCCATAGTAAAAGTAAAAAAAACACACACACATACAAAAAGCTTTTTATTGTGGTGGATGAGGAGGTTGCAGAGCAAAACTTTTTGGAGTGAAGGTCTGTATTAAAAGTAGACTAAAGCAAGTTATTTTCATCTTTTTAAGCCTCCAGCTTTCAATAAATACTGAATGATCCCATAATGAAGGTCTTAGGCATTTGCTATTCTAGGATGACAGCCAGTTGTGCACCTGCATTGTCATCTCACCACATGAAGCCATGGTGAAGACTACAAGAGGCCACACTGACACACATCGCTCAAGCAAGGTGTACGTTTGCCACTATTGGGAAAATCTCCTGAGCAATGATTTGCAGTATTGGTATTAAAAGGTTCAGCTTTTATATAAAACACACACACACACACACACACACACACTCTGTGCAATGATTTTGCACAGAGCAGCCCTGGTCCTCTTCTCTCAGGTCCCCCACCGGTGCTCCTCCCTCTTGACCAGTGCCCCCAATAGAAAACTGTTTGCTATGGGGGCACTGGCGCATGCTTGCTTCTGATCCCGACTCCATAAAGACACAGAGCTGTTGCTTGCCCCCCCCTCTCTTCATTGGCTCACTGGCTGTGATTGACAGTGGTGGGAGCCAATGGCACCAGATTTTGCACACTCCAGTTTTAGCAAATCAACCCCATAGTGTTTAGTAAATGTCATCCCTCCTGCACAATTATCACAAGCAGTGCTCAACAGGACTCCTCACTAGTATGCAACGTGTATGGGTGGTTGTAGAATAGCCATATACTAAACAACATTTTCATCTAATCCAGGGGTAGGCAACCTGCGGCTCTCCAGCTGTTGCAGGACTACAAGTTCCATCATGCCTCTGCAAGTCATAGCTGTAACTGTCAATTTTGCATTGTCTCATGGGAAATGTAGTTCCACAACAGCTAGAGAGCCGCAGGTTGCCTACCCCTGATCTAATCCAAATAAATCTACCCCTTACTTGCCTTTCATAGGATGACTGTATAGTATAGTGCATTTCCTGAGAGTGAGTGTAGCAGACAGACACTAAAGTAGTCCTTCTGTGAATAGGCAGATTCTGCAGTCACTGGAATGGGCCAACCATTGCCATGATATGCTACATATAGCGTTTGAATAGAGCTGACCACATGCAAGTGAACAGTCATACATACATGATCCAACTGACTGATTTCTGCAGTTATTCAGGAAATATCAGTAAGAAATGTGACAGTAAGGGCTCATGTACACTGCAGCTGATAAACTCATGTTTGAATCCTGTAAATTGACAGCAGGTAAATGCAGGTTAAAAAAAAATCAGTTTTGATAATACATACCGCATTTAGAAGAGTTTTTTAAAGATAAGCACAAGAGAACCTCCCAAATGTCCAGAATGCACTGGAAAGTGGTAAATTAACTATTTCAGAGAAATATAGAGAGTAGAAGCAGAGGAAGCAGTATGTGTTGAGATTATTTTTTTTTAGTTGCTCATTAACATTTCTTTTGTTTCCAAGGGTGGGAAAGGTGTCTGGTGGAGTGATCATTAAGGCCACCTGGCAGGGGGAATTTGAGGTGTGAATGGTCATTAATATATATCTTTTGTTTCCAAGGGTGGGAGAGGTCTGAGGTGTGAATTGGTCATTACAATGTGTGGCAAGCTTGGTAGGAACATCCTGTGTTCAGTGTTTTGTCCATTTGAGTACCTTGACAAAGATTTGCATGCATTTTTCATGATGAAAAAAGGCTCTGGGCAGCATCTGGAAATAAGAGTTAAAAAAAAATTCCAAACGCTTATAAACACGGTTAGCCGCATTTACAAGCGTTTGGAACGCTGATAGAATCTACTCCTGAACGCAAGTTTATTGCGTTAAAAAACAAACTACTGTAAAAACTCAACTGCCTGTAAAAGACTGTGTACATGGACACATAGGAAAGCATTAGGGTGAGTTCAGGTGCTGCTGAAGAAAAAACGCAGAAAAGCTCCTAAACGTGAGTTTATCAGCTGTAATGTACATGAGCCCTAAAGACAGGGATGATATCAGCCATATCTCACATTCTTTCCATAGAATAACACCAGAAGTGAGTGGACGCAGTGCCTCTTGTAATAGGACAGACATTCAGAACGTAAAGGACACATCAGTGGTCTCCATTAGCAGAATACACACCCTGGCGGCACTCAAGAGGTCCGTATGGGTCCCAGACATGAAACAGGAGAACAAGGTAACAGCTGGGAATCCCAGCCATTCCAGTGTGTGAAAGCTTGTATGTGTGCACTAGTGAGCCCTTCCCAGCACAACATCTGGTGCACAACACAGAGGACCAGTGGGCTTCCCCCCAGCATGAAACGTGAGATCCAGCAACAGCCCTGAAACACAATCCATGCCCTAGAGACAGCAGAACTCCAGAGATCCAAAGCAAGCATATGTGAATGTCTACTATCACGCCTTTCCCAGAAGAAGAAGAAAGAGAAGCTAACAGATGCCTAACAGGAAAAGAAAAGAAGATGGAAGCATGATTTGGAGATTTATAAAGCTAAATGCCAATAAAGTCAGAGATATTAGTATAGTGTGTTTTTAGTGATCATGCTAGTCTTTGTTTAAACAAGGTCACGTCACGCTCAACATTACTCTCTCATTTGTGTTACGCCGTTACATGTAGAATATTGCAGATTAGTCATTAGAGGCACATAGGGTCAGCATAACTATTCGGATAGGAGCCACACAAGGAGTGCATGGTTTCCAAGGAGTCAGTCAACCCATAGATCTGAATTGGAAGGAGAAAAAGCACAACTATCAGGAAACAGACTACATACGTATTGAGCAAATAGGATAGTCATGTGTACAAACAGAACCATACTATATAAAAACATTGGAAATACTTCTCTACTAAAACATTATTAAAGAACTGGAAAAATCTACTTAAAAAAAACACAAAGTCTGTAATATGTGGATAGACTTATTGTTTGTCCACTGATAAGTAAATAGCATGGTGGTTCAGTAGATAGTACTGTGGCCTTGCAGTACTAGTGTCCTGGAATGCACGGCCATCAAAGTCCCCATGGAATGTTCTTTCCATCAGTACGCCTCTCTGCAGAGCACAGTAGTGATGTAGTTGCCTGCAGGAGGAACCACAGCACCCAGTAGGAGACACCTAGGAGTGTCGGTCAGCAGCAGCACCTGAAGCTCTGCAAGAGATAAGATAAGTTTGACTACAAGTATACAATTGATTTTCTTTGTAATGGGTGTGTTCTCTCTCGCTCTCTCAGATTACAGGAACTGAATTTATTCTCTTGAAAAGAGGAGATTAAGGGGGGGATATGATCAACATGTGTAAATACATCAGTGGGTCATATAGTGAACTCTGTGTAGAGCTATTCACCCGGAGGTCATCACAGTGGGCGATATCTTATTTCAACAGTTTTTAAAGTAACTGTCAGGGGGGTTAACAAAATGACAGTACCAGTACCCTGTGTAGCAAGCAGGATTAAACTACCTGTCCATTGGCTCATTTGCTGAAACGCCAGTCTGTAGCAGAGATCCTTGGATACCTTGAGCTGGTCTAATAGCGGGCCCTCTCACCTGTCACTGTGGTTCCTCCTTCTGAGCCCTAGTCACTGCAGAACTTAGTAGCAACAAAAGGGTTAACATGAGGATTCACAGCAACAGTGGGGACACACTATTTAACACACTTGGAAGTGTGGAATGAGATCAGTGTTGCAAGCTCTACTACAAAGCGAAGTTTTAGCAAAAGATGCACCAGACAGGTAAGTATAATGCGACTTTCCTGTCAAGGTACTTCAATTGCAGTTTTGGTAACCCCCAACAGGGCCAATTTAACTAGTTTTAGAGTCCCGTCTAGTAGCCAGTCTGCAAATTCAGTACAACAAGAAGAAGAGCAAGCATGCTGAAGTTTGAATTCCAGGAGACAAACTTTTCCCTAATAAAATAGCAAAAACTGAAGCTCCAGTCTCACGCAATGTGCTTTAAGGGTTGTATTGTTGGCAATGAAGCTGCTGTTTTCTAGGCCAAGATTAAGCAATGCGAATATATACAATGCTACTGATCTCAAGTATCAGAGTTTATAGCAGTTACCTTTGCTCATTCGAATATCCACTGTTCTAGGATGCCTTCTGGGAACCCTAGAAGGCTCTACTTTAAAAACATTCTTGATATTAATCTTCTTTGCAAAGAAAAATCATCTGACTGATGGAAGTGCCCTCAATCCATAGGCTCTATTTTCTTGGATACAATCAAATCAACTCCAAACTCTCATTAGAACATGAAACATGAGGATACTCAGGAAAATAATAGACGGTCTGGGGTAAATGGATATCATACTTATTTTTGTATATCAAAATAAATTAATGAAAGTATGAAAACTGACACTTTTCGAACAAAGTACACAGTGGTCTGGGTTTTTTTTTTTTTTTTTAATTTTGCCTATTTCAACCTTTTACAAAAAAAAAAAAGAATGAATAAATTAATGAAAGCCAATCTGAAAACCAGAGAGAAGTATGAGAGGTTGTCACCTTACTCCGAAAATGATAGTTGCCTGCTGTCATGTTGACTACCTTCATTGCACCATTGAGCCAAGTATGGAGATCAGGACTTCTGACTTTCTGGTAGTTTAATAGAGATGAGCACAGATTTGGTTTAAAACTTAGGTTCGGACTGTATTCGGAACCAAGCAGTCACTCCGCCAAATCAGCCATAGGCATATTTGATCAATGATGTCACAAGCATCCCTTTGTTTTACGCGCAGCTCTGGGGCGATGAATGCTCTGGCTACAGCTGATTGGGTGCCGATTTGGCAGGAATAACAGCTTGCTCGCGGGTTCAGCCAAAACCCATGCTCAGCCCCACTTGTTACAAGTTGGGTATTGAATCCACAAAGTCAGCATTACAATCAGGCAAGCAACCATCATTTTCAGGTGTTCCACTATGGACCCCCTATAATTTTGCTTTTCTTCAATTTTAAGCTAAATTTAAAGATAATCGGCCCACTAAAAAGATAATCAGTTTTCACTTTTGTCTGCCACTAGATGTCCTCTGATGGCCAGCATCATTCAAACAAGCTCCTCTGAGCCCAGGCCATTCTCTGTTACTCTGCCCTCTCTTTGAAAAGCTCAGAAGTTGGTCAAACCAATAAAAACAGTGCAGTCCCTATACGAGTGATATTTCATCTCAGTTGTTAAAACTGAACAGTGAAGATATGGAAAAAATAAAAAAAAAAAAACATCAAAATTATATTCAGTATATGCTCACTGACCTCTGTAGCTGCATTTACTCCGAAGTAATTCACCCTCAGAAAATCACAACAGACTGAAGTTGGTTTCAATCAGCTTCCAAGAGCTTACAATACCAGCTGTTTGCTTATATTACAAGGCTGGCAGACTGCCAAGTCCATGCCAGAGAAATGAAGGGCAAAAAAGAAGCTGTGATTCAGGGACCATTGTGAGCTTTAAAGATGACATTTTGCAGACTGTCTATAGCTACAGAGGTAAGTGAGGGCTTATTTATATCAGGAATATGTACTGGAGGAAACCGTGCAGAGGCATTTCAGAGTGAAATTTTAAACTAATCCAAAGTTCAGTGTTAAAAAAAGTTAAATATTGCAAAAATCATTCAAAATATATGTTCAATGATAATACCCTTTACTTTTGTTGTAGCATATCGCCTCCTAACCCATTGTATATTTGCCATTATTTAAAACTCTCCACGTCTGGCAGTATTCGGTGTACCAATTTCCAAAGAAAATATCTTATAGCCAGACATATTTCAAAAGGTTCTGTAGCAAACGCGTTTGTGGCAGTTAAATGGTTAGCAAAGGAAACAAGAAAATCGGATTATACGGAGGGTGGAAAAAGTGACAAGTCTATTTAGGCTCTGTATGGAAACTATCCTTTTCTCATCCAAAACCTCTGCTGTTGGATGTGCAAACAAAGGCTGTGAATGAGCAGAATGTGGAAACAGCTGTGTACTTCCCTCATGCACTTCTTTTGTAGCAAGGAATCCATAACCTTCCCATAACACACACACATCCCGGGGGCTGTGTCCACCACAGAAATCAGGGACAACACATTTCCATAGATTTAATACGACTTATTAAGAGAGAATTAAACTCTACACAGTTCAGGTGGAGGCGAGTGTGTTATATAGAAGTCACTCATCTCTGGGGCCCCACATTTGTAAGCTGCAGCAAGACAGTCAGTCTGGGAGGAGGGGAATGTTGGACGTACTAGCAGATTTAGATACACTAACAAATTGAAGCCAAACCCTAGCTCACACTAGTTACAGCACCTGTTTTTTTCCTTTTGGGATAAAAGGTTTTATGTGAATATAGAAAAGCTGACCATTGTAAGCACCCCTGTCAGTGGTAAATAGTTTGTCTCAGCCATGTAAACGGATACATTTGTAGGAAAACTTGTCTGGTTGCAAAATAACAGACTTACTAGCCAGATCGTCTGGTTGCAAAATAACAAGAGACTTACTAGCCAGATCACCTGGTGAAAAAACAAAGCAAAAACCACACACCACATAGGAGGCGATCAAATACCACCAAAAGAAAGCTCAATTCGGAGGGAAAAAAAAAAAAAAAAAAAGTAAATTTTATTGGGTGCAGCATTTCATGACCGCACAATTGCCAGTTAACCTCCCTAGCGGTCTGATTAGGTCCATATTTCTGTGCTCAAAGCGGTATTTTTTTGCATGGAAATATGTATTTTTTTTTTTTATTGTAGGCCTGTAATTTTTAGGAATAACTCACTGAAATCTGTCCGAATCAGAGTCTAGTAAACATCCCGGGTATGATAAAATTTGAAACACGAAAATCATAAATTATAAATTTAATAATCATAAAAAATATAATAATACATTTAATTCAATAATGTAATCAAACCAAAAACACTGAAATTTGAAATATAGCGCCAAATCGCACATCACTGAGCAAAGTCACAAAATCGTTTTCAGTGTCTGATGACGAATTTCCCCACGAATCATTATCACTCAATTCTGCAAGTAGTTCTAATTTACTATCGCTGTTCTCTAGCTGGTCTAAAACCACTTTTGACCTAAAGGGATGCTTTTTGGACGCCATGGACGTTTCTCAGTTTCCAGGCAGAAAGAACAGTAAAAATGCAGGCAGGGCACAGGACAAATTTGTATGTGAAATGGTTTGATACAGTAATGGTTTCCTATGTGATTTTAGTGTATTTAGTAAATGTCACTTTTGTCATTTTCAAAATTTCCCGCCAGTTCCGTCCCCGTACGTCCCGAGGCTCGCAGAGGACAGAACCCAGATGACGGCATCCACCGGAGGACATTACAGGGGACACTGCAGGAGGGACATCGCGGGAGCGCAGGACAAGGTAAGTGATCAAGGGATCCTGGAGCAGCACCGCATGGTAAGCCCGAGTGTAGCTCGGGGTTACCGCTTGCGGTACTGAAACTTTACCCCGAGCTACACTCGGGAATACTGCCAGGGATGTTAAATTAACGCAGCGCCGTAACTCAAAAAATGGCCTGGTCAGGAAAGGGGGGGGGGGGGGGGGGCGGGGTAAATCCTCAGGAGGGCAAGTGGTTAAAAAAAAAAAAAAAAAACCCACACAACACTACTGTGTACATTGTTACAATGCTGATGTTATAGAATGAAAATGAGTACTGTGGCCATAGAGCTCCTTTAAGACTGGATTTACCCTGTTCCCTGTAGCCCTGTAGGTATGAATGAGGCCTTCAGATGTGAACCAGTCACTTAGAGAATGGGATGCATGCAAAATGCAAGGGTTTAGCTCCCTGGTGCCCAATCTGGGGCCCTTTGGCACTTATGCGTCCCTCTGAGCCCTGTCAAATAGGGTTTTTTTTCTTTTATAAAAGTTTATAAGGAGCACAAAGATTAGGATGCATGGATTTGTAAAAGGAGCTGTAATATTGGTGAACTCTAGCAGTCTCGTGTAATGCACCTGCGGCCTCCGACCATGTCCGGCAGCGCGGCTGAGGGCCTCCGACCATGTCCGGCAGCGCGGCTGAGGGCCTCCGACCATGTCCGGCAGCGCGGCTGAGGGCCTCCGACCATGTCCGGCAGCGCGGCTGAGGGCCTCCGACCATGTCCGGCAGCGCGGCTGAGGGCCTCCGACCATGTCCGGCAGCGCGGCTGAGGGCCTCCGACCATGTCCGGCAGCGCGGCTGAGGGCCTCCGACCAAGTCCGGCAGCGCGGCTGAGGGCCTCCGACCAAGTCCGGCAGCGCGGCTGAGGGGCCTCCGACCAAGTCCGGCAGCGCGGCTGAGGGCCTCCGACCATGTCCGGCAGCGCGGCTGAGGGCCTCCGACCAAGTCCGGCAGCGCGGCTGAGGGCCTCCGACCAAGTCCGGCAGCGCGGCTGAGGGCCTCCGACCATGTCCGGCAGCGCGGCTGAGGGCCTCCGACCATGTCCGGCAGCGCGGCTGAGGGCCTCCGACCATGTCCCCGGCAGCGCGGCTGAGGGCCTCCGACCATGTCCGGCAGCGCGGCTGAGGGCCTCCGACCATGTCCGGCAGCGCGGCTGAGGGCCTCCGACCATGTCCGGCAGCGCGGCTGAGGGCCTCCGACCATGTCCGGCAGCGCGTCTGAGGGCCTCCGACCATGTCCGGCAGCGCGGCTGAGGGCCCTCCGACCATGTCCGGCAGCGCGGCTGAGGGCCTCCGACCATGTCCCGGCAGCGCGGCTGATGCCTCCGACCATGTCCGGCAGCGCGGCTGAGGGCCTCCGACCATGTCCGGCAGCGCGCGGCTGAGGGCCTCCGACCATGTCCGGCAGCGCGGCTGAGGGCCTCCGACCAAGTCCTGTCCGACCAAGTCCGGCAGCGCGGCTGAGGGCCTCCGACCAAGTCCGGCAGCGCGGCTGAGGGCCTCCGACCATGTCCGGCAGCGCGGCTTGCTTTCCGACCAAGTCCGGCAGCGCGGCTTCGGCTGAGGGCCTCCGACCAACAGCGCGGCTGACCATGTCCGGCAGCGCGTCTTCACGATTACACTTACAGAAAATTGTGTGTGGTGATGACGGCAAGGGGAGCACTTGAGGACCTCTGTATTAAGAAAGTTGACCACCATTGCTTTAGCTGCTTCAACACAGACAAGTGTGAAGAGACCACACTACTATACCGACAAATAAGTGACCAAGCTGCCTAAAAAACACAGACATTTGACTTTAGAAATATCTGTAGAGACATGAAACCCATTTCTACTGCTGGAGAGACCGAGTGATGGCATTCCCTGCCGCAAAGCTTACATACAGTCTCTGCCCACAGCCATATAATACCCCAACTTATCAGACTTGGGATAGGGGAGGGAACCCAATTATTCTGCATTACTAGCAGGCAAGACAAGCCACTTGGTTCATTGCCGTTACTGGGGAGAATATTATAAAGAAGAAACTGTGCCCGGGACTGGCATGTGAAAGCGTGAGAGAAGATTGGGATGTTTATTCATACTTTTGTCATGCTCACCCCTGGCATTCCACAAAGAGTGGTGATTGTGTGTGTCTCAGCCATCATTAATTCCTTTCTATGAAGACCATGCAGAGCCTGAACCTTTTACTCCGGCCCGCCTACAAGTGTTCAGCAATGACCTGCTGGCCCCAGCTGAATATTAGAAGAAGAGGGCAGACAAAGGCAGCCGATCAATTAGCTATTCAATGGCAAGACTCTTAGTAGGGATGACGGTTAACCATGTCCCATCCACCAGAACTGTCTAGGGGACAATCGCAGACTGAGGCAGGCTCAATGAATGGACTAATAAGGGTTAATGCACAGATTATCTCAGCGGCTAGTGTCTGAGGTGGCTCAATTTGAACACCGCATCTTTCAAACTTTAACCGGCCACTGGAAGCATCTGTGTTCCCCAACCTGTTAGCCACACAATCTGTTGCTTTCCTACAAGTTACATGGCCCTGTTTGCTTTCCTAGACAGAATGTAGGTTAAGTTCCAAGTCACTTGACACTACTATTTACACCGACATGTTAATCAGCCTTTACAAGCTCTGGAAACTTCAAAGAAAGTCAACATGAAGGGCCAGTGCTGAACAAGGCAGCCATTGAACAGCCGAGCCCATAAAACCTATTTTATTATAACTGTCAACCACTAAGTGATTCCATATACATTAGGGAGAGAACAGAGAAATGGCCAAGAAGTTTCATAAGTGTAGTAACAGCTTTACCCATTACATATAGCACTCCAGTGACTGGGTGAATGACAAATTACAGCTAGCCTTTAACCAATTGACCTCTGGAAGGTTTTACCCCCTTCATGACCAGGGAGGTTTTTGCCATTTGTGCTACTTTCAACTGCCAATTGATCGGTCATGCAACTCTGTACCCAAAATAAAAATTTACAGTACATCTCTCCCCCCCCCCCCCCCCCCCCACCCAAAGAAAATAGAGCTTTCTTTTGGTGGTATTTGATCACCACTGGGTTTTTTATTTATTCTATAAAATAGAAAAAAAAAACAAAAATCGAAAAGGAGAAAAAAAACAAACAAAACACCACACATTTTCTGTTATAAAAACACTTCCATTAAATTATTCATAAAATTAAAGGCCACAATGTATTCTGCTACATTTCTTTGGTAAAAGCCAAACTGCATTTTTGGGGATACTATACTATTGGAATCACTACTATAAATTCTGATTGAGATACAGAACCATACAGTCACTGTGATAGCTCCAGATTTCCCGCCACACTAACTGACACTGACTGGGAGGGACACTAAGGGCTCGTTCACACCATGGTGCAGAGACATTTTCTACATGCGTTCTGCAAGGACACAACAAAATTAATTGTTCTCTATGTGCCCTTTCAAGCACAACACTAGTATCACGTGCAAATTTTATCCTGCACAGGAATCTGCAATGTGTATAAAACTCATTGAAGTGCATGAAAACTGATATAAACCAATATTTCTGCAAGTGAAATCTGCAGGTCAGTTTCCATCAATTTTCTGCATGTATGGTGTGAACGAGACCTAACTGACCGACATCGCTAGTGACACGAATACAGTGATCAGTGATAATACTGTACATTGCACTAATTACATTGGCTGGGAAGGGGTTAACTGTGTGCCCTAAGTGTAATGTGTGCGGCTTTTACTCAGATCTTGCATTTTTTTTCTCCCTGCTTTTCAGGGAGAACAGCCAGATTGCGTTCTTTTTTGTAAACATAGGACTCTGTGTTGCGATTGGCCACAGCCGATCAGCAGGTTTCAGCCAAAATCATTGGCTGAAACCTGCTGCCAAATTCATGCGATGTCTAATCACAGGCCAGTTGGGGGCATGTGCATGTGTGCCCGAAAACCAGAAAGTTCACCCCAATGTACCCAAACGTGCCTGGCTGTGCTGCCTACTCACAGGAAATCTATTGTGGGCAGGCAGCAAGTGGTTAAAAGCACAAAAACGTAATATGTTACAAAAAAATAAATAAAATCGTTCTGCGATCTACTAAGGGAACTTAAGCTGTCCATCGATGGATCAGTTCTCAATCAACCAGCAATTTAAAAAAAAAAAAAAAAAAAAAAAAAAACCCCACACACAACTCACTTGATCGCCCTTTCTCCACACTCTGTGGATGGGGGAATAAACCCCACTGATCTATTATATTTTAATAGAGTGTTGCAGGCTATAGCTGACAGTGCTGATAAAACTGCCTATGCAGATAAGGGGTGTCTATAGATAAACTGTGCAAATTTGACCAAAATTAAATAATTCTCTTTTTATAGGTGTAGGCCATTTATGTACCTCAGGAAGCCTGCCAGAAAAACTCCTAGGACATTACCAAGAGGCCCAGCTGTAATTGCTCACCTCCATCATCACAGGAGTGAGCTCTTTCTCCGATTCAAGCCCCCTCACATGCTCTCTCTTCTGACGCAGTAGCTTTGACTTCAAAGTTTGAGAGCTCACTCCTGTGATGGTGGAGGTGAGCAGTAACAGCTGGGCCTCTCTTAGCAACATCCTGAGAGTTTTCCGGTCAGGCTTCAGGAGGCATGTAAATGGCCTACACCTATAAGGGCATTATTTAATTTTGGTCAAAGCTGCACAATTTTTTTTATTTTGGGGGGGGTTCCAGACCAAGAACACTTTCGGCAAGTAAGATACTGGCTGATCTTGCCAAAAATGCAGTGTCCTGTCACTGTGAGGTTAAAAAAATTGAAAACGAACGACAGATTGCAAAAGATAGCAGAACAAACCCCCAAAAATTCTTCAACTATATTAATAGTAAAAAGGTCCGGTCCGACCATGTAGGCCCTTTACAAAATAATCTAGAGTGGGTGACTGGGGACAAAGAGAAGGCAAATTTATTAAATACTTTCTTCAGCTCTGTGTATACAAAGGACCATGGGGGAGCTCTTGTTCATAATGGGCCTGGTATTGCCATAGCTCCAGATGATCCACATTGGCTCACAACTGAAATGATCCAAAAATATTTA